TATATTTTTTTTTTTTTTTTTTTTAGAACAATTCATATTAAAATGTATCAAATATGATACATCAGGCTTTTGAGGAGCATTTATTTGTTAATCTCTCAATCATCATTGTATGTTTTGTCCCACAATAAAAACTAACTTTGATCAGAAACCTAAGCATTATATATTTTTGGGAGACAGAGAGTGACATCTGATATTTATATGCATTTTGTGTGCATTTTTTTTTTAGAGTATTATTTCTGACTATTATGCCAGGCTTAAAGTAAACACTACATATAAATCAACAGTTATTGTCATAAGAGTATTAGAGCTGTAAAATGAACAACAGATCGTCTGGTCTTTGAAGAATATGATGACTGTAGATGGCAGACTTTGATATCTTGTCAAATGTGAGAAAGGTTTGAGACATTGTTGAGATGTCTTCTGAACCTCTTGAGGACTTAATGGGGATTCACTTACAATGCCATAAATGAGCACACTTTCAATGACATTGTACAAATCGTGAATTGATTTTCTCCCTCTTTGACAGGTTATGTGCGTTTTAGGCGAGACTATCCAGAGTTGTTTGAGAATTTAACCGCAGAGGCCGTGCGCAGTACCATTGAAGCCGGATACCCACGAATCCTCTCCACCAGAGACAAGTACGGCCGAGTGGTGCTGCTCTTCAACATCAACAACTGGGATCTGGAGGAGGTCACTTTTGATGAAGTATGTGTGCTATTTGTCATAGCCTGATTTCCATCCACTGTCCAAAAATAGAGGAGTTTATACGGTTGCTGACAAAATCTATCTATCTTCTCAATTTATAAATCGTGCGCACGATTTACTAATTCGTTCTCTCAATTTATAAATCGTGCGCACGATTTACTAATTCGTTCTCTCAATTTATAAATCGTGCGCACGATTTACTAATTCGTTCTCTCAATTTATAAATCGTGCGCACGATTTACTAATTCGTTCTCTCAATTTATAAATCGTGCGCACGATTTACTAATTCGTTCTCTCAATTTATAAATCGTGCGCACGATTTACTAATTCGTTCTCTCAATTTATAAATCGTGCGCACGATTTACTAATTCGTTCTCTCAATTTATAAATCGTGCGCACGATTTACTAATTCGTTCTCTCAATTTATAAATCGTGCGCACGATTTACTAATTCGTTCTCTCAATTTATAAATCGTGCGCACGATTTACTAATTCGTTCTCTCAATTTATAAATCGTGCGCACGATTTACTAATTCGTTCTCTCAATTTATAAATCGTGCGCACGATTTACTAATTCGTTCTCTCAATTTATAAATCGTGCGCACGATTTACTAATTCGTTCTCTCAATTTATAAATCGTGCGCACGATTTACTAATTCGTTCTCTCAATTTATAAATCGTGCGCACGATTTACTAATTCGTTCTCTCAATTTATAAATCGTGCGCACGATTTACTAATTCGTTCTCTCAATTTATAAATCGTGCGCACGATTTACTAATTCGTTCTCTCAATTTATAAATCGTGCGCACGATTTACTAATTCGTTCTCTCAATTTATAAATCGTGCGCACGATTTACTAATTCGTTCTCTCAATTTATAAATCGTGCGCACGATTTACTAATTCGTTCTCTCAATTTATAAATCGTGCGCACGATTTACTAATTCGTTCTCTCAATTTATAAATCGTGCGCACGATTTACTAATTCGTTCTCTCAATTTATAAATCGTGCGCACGATTTACTAATTCGTTCTCTCAATTTATAAATCGTGCGCACGATTTACTAATTCGTTCTCTCAATTTATAAATCGTGCGCACGATTTACTAATTCGTTCTCTCAATTTATAAATCGTGCGCACGATTTACTAATTCGTTCTCTCAATTTATAAATCGTGCGCACGATTTACTAATTCGTTCTCTCAATTTATAAATCGTGCGCACGATTTACTAATTCGTTCTCTCAATTTATAAATCGTGCGCACGATTTACTAATTCGTTCTCTCAATTTATAAATCGTGCGCACGATTTACTAATTCGTTCTCTCAATTTATAAATCGTGCGCACAATTTACTAATTCGTTCTCTCAATTTATAAATCGTGTGCACGAGTTAGCAAATCGAGGGAATGAATTAGTAAATTGTGCGCACAATTTATAAATCGAGGGAACAAAATACTAAATCGTGCGCACAATTTATAAATCGAGGGAACGAAATAGTAAATCGTACACACAATTTTTTTTTTTCTTGCATGTCTTGTGTCATGGCTCCGTGATTTTGTTGTGTGTGTTCATCATTTTTATTACTTTGGGCTTTTCTTTCTTTCTTTTCTTTTTTTTTTCTTTTTTTTAAATATGTCTGTATAACTCTTATTATTTTTTTATTTCAGCTTTAATTATTTTAGTATTTCAAGTAAAAAAAAAAAAAACAGGCAACAGGCTGAAATAAAATACAATAATATATTTTATTTCAGTTATGTATTTTAATTAAAGTAACCGAAATGTTTTTATATCTAACTTTTTTAAATGGTTTTAGGTTTAGTTAACAATAACAACCCTGCCTCAAACACAAATGTGTCTTTTCACAGACTCTATGTGCCTACTGCGTAATCCTTGAGAAACTTCTAGAAAACGAAGAGACCCAAATCAATGGCTTTGTCCTCATTGAGAACTTCAAGGGCTTCACGATGCAGCACGCGTCTGGAATCAAACACACCGAGCTGAAGAAGATGGTGGACATGCTACAGGTAAACGCCTTATTTTGCCTTCAGATCACAGCCTCATATATCATATAGCGCTGGCTGACATAAATCTTGTGCTGTCTGTATGTATGATACAGGACTCTTTCCCGGCCCGATTCAAGGCGGTGCATGTGATCCACCAGCCCTGGTACTTCACAACCACCTATAACGTGGTGAAGCCCTTCATGAAGAGCAAACTGCTGGAGAGGGTGAGTGGAATTCAAGTGGATGTGGGAGAAAAAAAAATCTGAACAGGGTTGAACAAGCGGTTCACTATTCTGACAAATGAGTTCAAAAGGAGAACAGAAACAAAAGATGCATGAAGTAATTAGTTCCACTTTAGAAACTTAAAACCTTGCACACCTAAAGAAATGCACACTCGCTAAACCATTTAAGAGTCACTCCATATTGAGATCACATGACTAATCTTATGTGCACTTATGAAAATGTGTTTAAATGAGAAATCTGAACCTGTTTATCGAGTAGGTTTTTGTTCACGGTGACGAGCTGGATGGCTACTTCAGGGACTTTGGTGCTGAAATCCTTCCTCCGGATTTCGATGGGACGGGTCCTGACTGTGACAGCAAAGAGACGGCGATCAAGCTGTTTGGATCAGAAGATACAGCCCTTTAAACGACCCAAGCCAATAGCACAACACTGTAACCTTTTGTTTGTTTAATATATGATTTAAATGTTTTATAGAAACTATGAAGGAAATTATTACAATTGTAGAGTTTATTATTTTAAGCCACTGTATTACAATAAAAGTGTAAAAAGCAGGTCCTGTTAACAGATGTACTTTTGGGATGACTTATCTGACATTTGTTTTAAACAGAGAAACTTTGCTAAAGTGTTTTGAATTCTTTGCCTTGAAAACGGTGGCCTGCAATTTATCAAAAGAAAGTTTTGTACTAGTTGTGTGTTGAAAATAAGTGTAATAATTAGAATCAAATGCATAAACTTGATTACAAGCCTTGACCAAGAAATAATAGGGTTGTTACTTGGCTTGTTGTATTAAAGCAGCACTATGTAACTTTTGGCGCTCTAGCGGTTAATAAACAGAACTGCACACATCCCGCAGAAGAACATTCCAACCGGAGCTACTTCTCCAAGTTTATGTCTATGGCGATTCACGCAGGTATGTGTTACTCCGCAGCGGTGACGACCCGACCAGGCTGCAATAGTCCAAATATAAGTACTTATTATAAGTGTACCGTAGTGATTCGGAATAAGACAAAACGCGGTTTGGAAGATGAATTCATGATGTACTCGCTCATTATATACATTTTGCAAATTTTGAACAGAAAAAGTTACATAGTGCTGCTTTAAGTAGATATAATGTTATCGTTGTTGGTTCTTCTAGACCCAGAGCTTTAGCCTGTGTCAAGTCTAATTGACATTTTCAATAAAGTGGGCAAAATGTTGAGTGTTTTGTGCATCTGATGTCCAAATAACAGGTCCACACTGAACAAATAAGCATGTTAACTACTAGTAATACTGACAATATACACCAGTTACAGGTATCAGTAAGAAAAAACAATTTCCACTAAAATATTAAGCCACAAAACTATTTTCAAAATTGATGTTTATTGAGCAGCAAATCAGCATATTAGAATTATTTCTGAAGGATCACGTGACACTGAAGACTGGAGCAATGATGCTGAAAATTCAGCATTGCATCACAGGAATAAATTACATTTGAAATTAAATTCAAATAGAAAATGGTTATTTTAAATTGTAATAATATTCCGCAATATTACTGTTTTCACTGTATTTTTGATCAAATAAATGCAGCCTTGGTGTGCATAAGATACTTTTTAATTTAAAAAAAAAAAAGTTATGGTATTATATATATAATTTAATTTAATTAATTTATGCATTTAGCAGACACTTTTATCCAAAGCAACTTACAATGCATTCATGCTATACTTTCTTTTTTTACCAGTATGTGTGTTCCCTGGGAACCAAACCCACGACCTTTTGCACTGCTAATGCAATGCTCTACCACTGAGCCACAGATACAGATACACAGATACAACTGACAAAATACAAAAATAAAAATCCCTAATAAAAATGTATATCCCCTGGAGAAAAATCACATAAGAGCAACTTGTTTTTTAAACAAGAAAATAATTTATTTCTGGAACACAATAACCATTCTTGTAATAATAAATTATTCAATCACACACCATTGGTTTTCCAAATCAAAAACACACCAGTGATTGAGATATTGTGCTGCATGGGGTTCTGAGGTCATGAAAAATTACACATTCAAAAACCAGCCACCAAACACAACAAACCGTGATGAGAATGTGGGTCAGAATAGTAGGAACAGATCTGGTGATCTTACAGTGACATTGGGCAGTGTCAGTCTCAAAGCTTTGTGAATATTCTACTCTATATTCTGCAAACAGACTTTATATATATATCTATATATATATGTGACCCTGGACCACAAAACCAGTCATAAGGGTAATTTTTTCGAAATTGAGATTTATACATCATCTGAACGCTGAATAAATAAGCTTTCCATTAATGTATGGTTTGCTATGATAGGACTATATTTGGCCGAGATACAACTATTTGAAAATCTGGAATCTGAGGGTGCAAAAAAATCTAAATATTGAGAAAATCGCCTTTAAAGTTGTCCAAATGAAGTTCTTAGCAATGCATATTACTAATTAAAAATTAAGTTTTAATATATTTACAGAAGGAAATTTACTAAATATCTTCATGGAACATTATCTTTACTTAATATCCTAATGATTTTTGGCATAAAAGAAAAATTGAT